AGCGGTAGAGCACTGGCCTTGAGCTGAAGAGTGCAGGGACAGCGCCCAGGCCCAGAGTTCAAGCCCCATGACCGACAAAAGAAAGAAAGAAAGAAAGAAAATATGTAAGAAATAACTATTTACTCCAACGAAAGGTATTATATTTGCAATAATATTTATATACTTATGTATCCAGCGCACATTTATAGAACACCTACTTACTCCTTAATATGCTTTGGACGTGTAAGAATACAAGTGTTCCTGTTTTTAAATTCATGTTCAAAGATGTCAACAAATTGTTCTCTGGTCCTTGTCTCTTTAATTTCCAGACTTGAGGAATGAGTTGTAATGGGAAGAGCAATGATCTTTTAGTATAGTATTGGAATTGCCTTGGCTGAGACTTGAGGAATGAGTTGTAATGGGAAGAGCAATGATCTTTTAGCATAGTATTGGAATTGCCTTGGCTGAGACTTGAGGAATGAGTTGTAATGGGAAGAGCAATGATCTTTTAGCATAGTATTGGAATTGCCTTGGCTGAGAGCCTTCTTTCTCAACTAGATTCTTCCTAATGCTTTTATTATTAGTACTTTTCCTAAAAGAAATGAACTATTACCTTGACTTTTTAGTATTCCAAATGCTACTTTTTTATAATGTAAACATTCAAAATATTTCCTAATTCTAATTTTTGCATTTTTTCTGTTGTTATTCATCAGAGTAGATGTATATCATTGTATTGATTTTTAATTAGGATTTATATGCATTGGTTTGCACAATTAAAAATCTTCAATAGACTTCTAAATGATGTTCTGAGAACATCCCCATTGAACCTAGAGTTTGTACACAATTTGATTAGTTTACCATTGTCCCCTTTTATTTCATTTCCTAAGGCATGATGTGTGTGGGGATATATGTACAATTCTTTGCTGTGGTGTGTGTGCGTGTGTGTGTGTGCGTGTGTGTGCGCGCGCGCACGCGCTCGCGCGCAAGTATCTATAGAGAGAGGAAATAATTCTCTTCTACATCCCTTTCCCCTTTTAATATAGAAATCATAGGAACCACATTTTGCAAAAGCAATTTAGGAATGAACAAAATATAAACTAATTAGCAAGAAACTGACTTTTTTACAATGCCCAAACTATCCACAACTTGGGTACTTTCATTTAATCAAGTTTTTAAGAAATACTTTGGAAAAATGGAAGAAATAGATTGCATTCCTATTGGCCATCATCAAGTCCCCAGTTATTATTGTAGTGCTATTACTATTTATCTTTATCCATATTTCCTCTTTACTACACCTTGGTGTTGTAATTTATGTGCTATAATGTTCACTCACTCTCTATATAAGGACAATTCAGTGGCATCAATTCTTTTTAATGTCTATTTCCTCAATATTTTGATATTAGTTACAGCTTTAAAAGCTTAAGCAGATTTGAAAAATATGTCTACTTGTTGGTGCCATCCTGAAATGTTATTTAGAGTTGATGATTTTTCCTGGAGTATACTGGTTTATTTTTGGGAGCACGATTAATTAATTTTTTTTTACTACTTTTATCTTCTGGATATTATAAAACAAAACAAAACCACATGCTTTTCTAATTGTATCAATGCATTTCTGTGACATTATTTGGCAAATATTAACTTCAGTTTTATTTGTGTTGTTTTATTGAAATGAATTTCTAGCATATGGCATTGTTTATTCACAATGTTTCATATTCAGCACAACCCTCTCAGTCCTGTAAGTCTTTGCAAGGCTTATTTAATTCCTTCTAATTTTAAATTATCTCTTCCTTTCTATATTAGTTTCCTTAGTTTGCTATAGCAATTTACCACAAGAGAGGCTGTTGTATCTGAAATTTAATTCTCCCACAGTTCTGGAGGTCCAGAGTCCAAGGTCAAGGTGTGTAGCAGGCGAAGTGCCCTGTGGTTGCCCTTGTGGGAGTGAATGTTCTCTGCCTCTATCCTAGTTTCTGATGGCTACTGGCATTTCTTGGTGTTCCTTGACTTGTAGTTACCTGAGATTCAAACTCTGGCCCCCACAATCACATTGCCTTCCCCTCTTTCTTGGTGTCAAGACTCCCTATTCTACCCTTGAACTAACGGTTATTAAATTTAAGGCCCATTTTAAATCAAGATGATCTCTTCCTTACTTGTATGTGTAAGATCCCTAATTGGGTCACAGATACAAGGGCTATAACTTGTATGTATCTTGTTTTTATTGTCAAGGTGATGTACAGGGTGGTTTTAGTTATGTAAGTAAGGTAATGAGTACATTTCTTGTCAACCTTGTATGTATCTTTTAAAGAAATGCATTCAATTAACTACCTACCCAAGCAGCAAGCTTTTTAGATTCTGATTTTAACAACTATAGATTAAACCCTGAAAAAATTCAGAGCTTTATAGTTTCTGAGTCATTAAGAATGATTTCCAGCACTTGAAAAGGTAAGAAAAACCACTGGCATATTGCCAAGGTGACTGTCCTTCCTTCCAGTTCTTCTGTTTGATTCAAACTTGCCTTTCCCTGACTCATATCCATAGAGCTATCACTTGAGATTGTTCTGAAACATAAATCTGAATAAAATTATCTTTCTACTTCGGAGCTTAACACAGAACTTGGAACTCAGTCCCAAGTCCATATGTAACACTTTGAAAGGCTGTGGATAATGTCTACACCCTCTTACCTCTGTTGTCCGAACCTTCACACATCTGCTGAGCATGTTTGTTGACTCTTCCCTTGGCTTTCAGTTTTACTTTAGATCGCAGCACAGATGTTTCTTTCTCTGTGGGTTCTTCTGAGATCTGTTGCCTCAGCTTTAAGCATAGTGCTTAATGTTTATTGAAAAAGTGAAAACCAAAGTTCTTAAAGATCAGGGTATTTTAAACTCTTCCATTTAAGAAAGTGTTATGAAGGGTGTTTTAGCCTACACCCATTTCTTTCTTTCCCGGAATAGGTCAGAACGATTTCAAATGTATCTTCATTTCTAAATTAACTTCGTTGGGCGTTATAACAAATTGCAGCATATTCAGATGTTTGCAAACCTGGTTGAGAGCCTCACTAGTGACAAGTCTTCTGGTCTTTTCCTATCGAGTCTGTAGTTTTGATGGATCTGAAACTGGATTGGCTAGTTAGAATAGTAGAATCCTTGTGAAAATTGCCCTTAAGGGCGGGGAAGGTAGCTCAGTGGTAGAGTGCTTGCCTTGCATGCATGAGGCCCTGGGTTCAATTCCTCAGCACCACATAAGCAAAAAGAAAAAAGCTGGAAGTGGCGCTGTGGCTCAAGTGGTAGAGAGCTAGCTTTGAGCTGAAGAGCTGAGGGACAGCGCCCAGGCCCAGAGTTCAGGTCCCATGACCGGACCCCTCCAAAAAAAAAGAAAAGAAAAGAAAATTGCCCTCAAAATAGTATTTGCCCTCAAAGATGAAAACCTATCTGTAAACTGACAAAATGTGGTTCATTTGTAACAATACCATTGAAAATTATTTTAGGTATTATAATAATTCCTAAAAATATTTTCAAACTTGGACTAAAACTTATTATATTAAATCCTGGAGGAGGAAATGATGCTTGTATTTTTCTTTGTAGCATGATTTTGAAAAAAAAAACTTGCTTTATATTTCCCTCCAGTTAAGAATGCATGTCTTAAGTATGAATACTCTGTTTCTCTCTTACCTCACAAATATTTCCCATGTTCAGTTGCATGAAATTGTAGAGCTTCTGCATGGCAAAGGACATAGCTAGCAAGATCAATAGAAAGCCCATGGATTGGAAGAAGATCTTCACTAGCCATACAACAGACAAGGGTCTCATATCTAAAATATACCTGGAACTCAAAAAATTAAATCCCCCAACAACAAATCTTCAAAGAAACAGCTGCCCAATAAATAAGTGGGCTAAAGACTTAAAGAGAAACTTCTCTGAAGAGGAAAGAAGGATGGCCAATAGACACATGAAGAAATGCTCAACCTCCCTAGCCATAAAAGAAATGCAAATCAAAACAACATTGAGATACCACCTCACCCCAGTTAGAATGGCTATAATCAAGAACTCTAATAACAACAGATGCTGGAGGGGATGTGGATAGAAGGGAACCTTAGTGCATTGTTGGTGGGAATGTAAACTTGTTCAACCACATTGGAAAGCAGTATGGAGGTTCCTCAAAAGACTCCACATAGAGCTCCCCTATGACCCAGCAATCCCACTTTTGGGCATTTACCCAAATGTTTACAAACACTAAAGCTATCAGCTGGACTATGTTTATTGCAGCACTATTTACTATAGCTAAGATATGGAACAAACCCAGATGACCCTCCGTAGATGAATGGATCAAGAAAATGTGGTATATATACACAATGGAATTCTATGCCTCCATCAGAAAGAATGACATTTCCCCATTTGTTAGGAAATGGAAAGGCATGGAAAAAATTATATTAAGTGAAGTAAGCCAGGCCCAAAGAAACATAGGTCTCATGGTTTCCCTTATTTGCAATATCTAGTATAGGTATGAGTCAAGCGGAAAAGGTCAGATGAGGTGATGTTAGGGAAATGAACCCTAAGATATGTATTCACATGTTTTTTTTCTTTCATTCGATTGTTACTAACACATTTATAAGATGATTTCTTTGTTGCTTTGTGTATCCCTCCCCCACTGTATAACCCCTGCTTTCACTGTATTTGATCTTGGTATGATTTGTGGAGGGGAAGGGGAAAAACAAATCATTTAAATAGGGATACAGGTGGACCCATTGCAACAATGAGATGTACAAGTCGTTATGTTGAAAAACAAACTTTACAACTTTGGTGTGGGGGGGACGGGAGAGGATGGGGGGGAGCAGGGGGAGGCTGGGAAGGGATGGGAAGGGGAAACAAAGGAGGAGGCTACAATGCTTGATAAGAAATATACTTATCTTGCCCATGTAATTGTAACCCCTCTGTACAGTATTTTCACAATAAAAAAATTACTTTTTAAGACTTTAAAAAAAAACAAATATTTCCCATGTTTGTATTGATCTGCTATTCTTCTTATAGTTATGCCCCGTGGTGTCCATCCTGCCAGCAGACCGATTCGGAATGGGAGACGTTTGCCAGGAATGGGGAATCACTTCAGATCAATGTGGGGAAGGTAGACGTCATTCAAGAGCCAGGTATTATAAACAGTGAACATTAAGTAGAAAAGTATGATAGCTTTCTTTTAATATTTTTCAAACATATGGCAACATTGAAAGACTGGGATTTTGATTACCTATGAGCTGACCATCTTGAATCAATGTATTATATTTTGGCTTATCTACATCTCCCTATGTATACAGTGCATATCCATGTATATTTATTATTAGTTTGTTGTGATATTGACAGTTGTAATCTGTGGGATAATACATTTGGATTTTAAGAACCATAATGTTACTGCCCAGATAAGTATTTGAAGTGGGTTTCCAAATGAGGAATTTCGAATTCTGTCACCCTATCTGTATTTAGTAGCTATGAATGTTGTCATTTATCAAGAGGAAGGATCACTTTTGCTGCAAAAGCAAAAGGGACTTTTAAATTTTGAAATGATATGCACAATGAATTTATATTTATAGTTTAAAAATAACTTTGTATATTATATAATTTGAGAAAAATGTTGCGTTTTTACCTAAATCTTTCAAATGTAGCTCTTTTAAAAGAATGTTTTTTTTACTGAAATTTAATTTCTAGCTAGGTTCTATGACTGATCAAAGAAAAAAAGAGGCATGCAAGAGTATATCCACTTCCCCTGTATTGGCTGTGAATTCAGAAACCACAAAGTAATGAAGGGTTGATTATTTTTATACCTTCTGATATAGTAAAACATTTTTTTGATAAAAAATAGATATGTTAAAATTGCCACATGAACAGAGATTTTTATTGGAATTAAAGAGAAATTTTTTTAAAAATCCTGTTAATACCTGTTTCTTTCTTTAAGTATTTAAAATAGCCACCTCTGCCCATCTTTGCTTAGAGGTGGGTGATTATAGTTAGTAGTTAAAATGTTTGGTTGTTAAAATAAGTTATTCTATTAGAGCAAATCATTTCAATTACATGTTTGCAGAATATTTATTTTATCTTCGGTAGTTTGAGTCCAGTAAAATCTGGTATGGACTTAATTCATGGGCATCAGAAACCATGTTATGATGGATTTCTTAAAAATTCAGCTGGCCTGTTCACATTTCAGTCACATGGTATCCTACTGTGAATTTAAAGCATGATTTGAATGAAAAAAAGTAAGCTGTTAGCCTTTTGATTCATAAACTTAAAGTTTAATTGAATAGAGCCTTTTATTTAAAAGTGTAGAGCTATTTTTTCATAGTGAATTGACCAAAAATAAAATGCAAAATTAGTATGAAGTAATTTCAAAGCATTTATTGACTCATTATTTTAGATAAATCTAAACTAAATATACTTGAAATATTCACCAAAGAAGAAGGGAAAAATGACTTATTTTGTTTGGCATACTCTAGTCTAATGAAGGTGGTTAAGTGTTTTATCTATTAGGACAATTTTCTAAGACAAAGGGTCTAAAATTCATTCAAATGATTCATTCAAACTTAAAAACTGAACTCATAAATATTGAGAAATACATAACTACATGCATAGTTGTTTGAATGACCTAGAGAATACAGTCTCTGGCCATATAACAATATTTTGGCTAAGGACTGGCAATAGTCTTATAAGATTATGTTATCATTTTTGTTTGCCTGAGTATACTGTGATATTTATAGAACAGTAAGATTGCCTAGGGATGCATTTCACAGAATTTATCCCATCTTTAAGTGATGCATAACTGTATGCTTCTGATTATAATGTTGTAAATTTTACTTTGAATTATAAACCTAATGCTTTCATGCTTTCATTAACCTACTAATAAGGCTTAGAAATATTGAATTCTTTCAACAAATATTAAGTTCCTACTAGGCACCAAGCATAGTTCCAGATATAAATTATACTAAAATGAATGAAGGAAACAAAGGCCTGGCTTTTTTAAATAGTAACAAAAATTATGTGGAGAATAATGTCAGAGTGTGATAGGAATTATGAAGATAAATGAGAGTAAAGATGTAGAAAATCATGAGAGCCACTGTTTAAAGTTAGGCTATCCAGGAATTGATTGTTTAACCAGTGGTCTTGATAGGTTGAGACAGAAAACCTCAACAATCTTTGGTTGACGAACACCCCAGGCTGAGTAAACACTATGTCAAGTGGGAGAATAATTGTCTTATTTGAGAAACAGTATGAGGGCCAGTAGGGCACTCAAGGTGAATGAGGGTAAAAAAGTTGCTAGGGACCAGACTGTGTGTCTTGGCTCTGTGAACAAGCTTATATTTTACTCCAAAGTATAATAAGAAAAAAAAAGCTACAGAAAGTTTGATCAGGGGAGTACATGCTATGATTTATGTTTTACAAGAATTCCTTTGGAAATGAACTATACAACTTGTGTGTGGAGACAAGAGAGAAAAACTGGGAGAGAAAGAGGGAAGGGGTGACATTGTACAAAAAGAAATAGACTCATGACCTGACTTATCTAACTTTAACCCCATTTAAAATAACCTTAAAAAAGAAAAATAAATTTAATTTTTTTAAAGCATTCCTTTGGGTGCCTTGTGAAAGCATTAACTTTGAGGAGACAGAAATGGAAGCAAGGACAGTTTGGGGTTAGTGAGGTAATCTAGAAGTAGGAATTAGGTGTTGTAGTATAGGAGACATATGGTTAAATAATTGTATTTGAGACTAGGCTTTTCTGATTGGACTGGTTTTAGGATGTCGTGGGATGAAAAGAAAAGGCAGAGGACTAAGGATGAGGGCAGATAGAGGTTACCTCAGAATGGTAAACAGAGATGAGATAGGGAGAGAAAGTTGAGAATTCTAAGAGCAGAAGAAGAATCGAGATTACTCAGAGGTGTGGGTTAGGGAACTGAGAACATTTAGAACACAGAATGCGGCAGCAGAGGAAGAGTTGGCATGGTAGGAGAGAGGGAGAAGTGGGAGCATCTGGGAAGGGAGGTCTTATGTGGTACCGACTCATGTAAGTCTCAGAGGCAGCCTGGCTCTATTATTGGAAACAATTTGAACATTTCTTTTTATAAAATCTAGTTTCCATACTCAGCAGTAAGAAACCATCAAAATGACTTTGATTGTTTTTCCTCACAGTTAAGCATGTTAGTGATTATTTCTGTATACAAATTTCCACTCAGATATAAATTTCCACTTGTACATTTTTTCATCAAAGCAGTCTTGCCCTAAGAGTTATAGTCACATATAATTTCATTTCTTTGTAAAATGCAAAGCAAGAGTAAAGGTTCATGCATATTCTTTAGTTAACATTTTGAACGATCAAAATTTGTGTTGATAACTTTATTATTAAAGCTGAGATTCAGAAGTCAAGGAAAGACTGGGCCTTAGATAAATCTATGTCACGTTGCCAGTTTAATACTTCATGGCTGAAATGTCTTTGCAAAATTAAATTTAATCATTTAAATTAAATCCATGTACTGGAAAAGAACACCTGTTTGTACATTATTCATGGGCGATGTCTGTGTTACAGGCTAGAGGAAAGCCAGATGCCTCCATAGCCAAAAATAAATATTGGGTTTAAAGCCATCGATTTAATAAGAAACCTATTTAATGTAATGCTATATATTTTTTATAATTGGGACACTTAGACTTTTGTATTTTTTATATTGAAACTTTAACTCTCAAAGGTAAAGTTGGTCCTACTTTCAAACTTCTTTTTTAATTAATTTACATTAATAGTATAAGGAAATTTCATTGTTACAGTACCACAAATGCATACAGAAGTATACTTTGAACAAGTTTACTCCCTTTATTATGTTTCCTTCTGTTTTTCTCCTACTCCTTTATTTAGTGATAACTAAACATTTAGTGAGCATTTTCTTTCACTGTAATTGTTATATACCTACATGTGTTTTTACCCTTTTAATATTCTCAGAAATTTGAGATTTGAATTACTCAGGAATTTGAGGCACAGAGAGGTTTTATAACAGGATCAAGGAATCACAGCTAATAAATAATAGAACAAAAGTTATTTTTTCTGCTATCTTAATATTGAACTTAATTTCTACCCTAATTTATGTTCAATTTTTATGCTTTTAATTCTTTTGAAGTATGCATTTAAATTTTTGATAAGAAATGTAATTATTTTACGTATTCCACATTTATGCTTTTATGTTTTGACAATAGTGAAATTTGAGCTTAGAGCCTCATATTTGTTAGGCACATGCAGTTGGATCATGCTAGAGGAGGAAGGTTAGAGAGACTTTGGCAGTGGCAGAGGAGAGAGAACAGGTTTCAAAGATTCTTAAGAGGTAGGATTATTAGGATATGGTGACTGATTATCCACAAGACGGAAGAATCTATATCACTCTACACTTGACCCATGCCCTCTGCCCTTTTTACTTTATTTTTCAAATAGAGACTTCCATTTTTGCCCAGGTAAGACTGGACAACGATCCTCCTATCTATCTTTTCTGTGTAGCTGGAAAGACAGCCCTATGCCACCAAGATGAGCTGTTTTTATTGTTTGAAGTTTAGCGTCTCAAACTTTGTACCCCAAATGGCCTCAAATTGTGTTCCTCTAGACCTCTGTCTCCTAAGTAGCTAGAATTGCAGTGTGAGCAATCATGCTTAGCCGATTGATGCCCTATGTTACACCACAGTTTTCATTTTAAAGTGAAAATTACTTCTACAGACAAAAGGTATGCAAAAATTTCAGGTCAAGCTTTATGATTTTCTATATAAGGGTAGGGTTTAGGGTGTCCTTGATTCTTCCATACTTTCTGAAGCTTACTGCAGTGAACCATTATGTAGGCTGGAAATGGTTTTGCTTTGCGATTTTAAAATTTTTGTAAAATCTACATCTTACTCTTAGTATCTTTAAACCCTGAAGCTATAACATTAAGTAGAGTTGTCTTTCCAATGAGAATTCCCTTACGTACCCCATAGTGTCAGTATGAAAGGGTGGAACACAGGTTTGGAGGACTGGAATGAGACTGAGGGCTTCCTGATGCCTTTCAGCCTCTCAGAAGTGACATGAATTATTGACGTGAATTTCCTGGAGTGTCTGCAAAGGTTAAATAAAGGTTATGTTTTCTAAAATAATGTGAAGTTTTCAAAGAACATAAAGTAGCTTATTATTTTTACATATTATCTGATCAGAGATTTAAATATAGAAAATTATAGCTAACATTTATATGGCATTCATCACAGGTCAGGCCTTGAGTTCTTTGTGGTTGTAATATATAGTCATACTGCTAAACACTATGAGGTAAATGTCCATGTAGAAGAAAACTGAAATTCATAGCATTCAAATTAATTGCCACAGATTTAAAGCTAGTAGTAGCAGGTATAGGTTTTAACCTAATGCCTGCTGCCTTTTAAGCCTGTAAATATTGGTTCTGTGTATTATATAAATGTGTTTCATGAATATTTTGTACTTATTTATGTATTTACTTCTTTCTTGCTATAGCCAATGATGACTAAGTATTTTTAAAAGCAAGTTTAAAAAGTTGCTTTAAGGGATACCTAATATTTATTTAAAATCCCACATGTTCTGATAAAAATAAAATCTATATGGAAAACTTTTTAAAAAGATGAGAAGCTATTTATTTTTTCATTCCACTTAAATGCTATTCGAATAAAGTATACTTTTCTAGCACAACTCTCTTTGGATAAAACTTGAGGATTGTATAATAATCTGTAGCTAGGAAAGAAGTAAGATATGACACTATAATAATTTTTTAAACCAAAATCATACAATAATTTTAGGCACTTATGAATACCAGTACCTTTCCCCCTGGCAATATAGAATTGGGAGGGTATAGCAGAATAATGGTTTTCCCCACTATGGTAAAATTACAAGTAGCATTCCAGATGAAAAGGCCCACAAGCAAAAGTGCTGGTTAAATCATGGCATCTTCTCAGGCACTTGCACTTTTGCAATTGAGTCCAATGTATATTCTATAAAACTAGGAAGAGTGAGGAAAGGGGTGGGTAGGGAAGCAAAAGGTAGAAATGTTGAAAGGTCTGACATTGATAGAAACACACTGTATTTATGAACTGCTTTGTTAAATGGCAACTCCTTTGCATGACTATAGATAGATAGATAGATAGATAGATAGATAGATAGATAGATAGATAGATAGATGGATAGATGGATAGATGAAATGTGAAATATAAAGCTGACAAGTGACGAGTTTATGTCTTTTTGCGACATTGACTTTTGCTTCCCTCATAGTACTTTTTTTTTCTTTTTGGTCACCTATGTGGCTTGAACTCTGGCCTGGGCACTGTCGCTCAGCAATTCAGCTTAAGGCTAGCGCTCTACCACTTGAGCCACAGTGTCACTTCCCGCTTTTTCTGTTTATGTGGTGCTGAGGAATCAAACCCTGGGCCTCATGTATGTGAGGCAAGCACTCTATCATGGAGCCACCTTCCCAGCCCCTGGTCTTTCTTTTTTGTTTTGTTTTGTTTCTTGTTTCTGTTTTTTGGGGGGTTTTTTTGGTCGTGGGCCTTGAATTCAGGCCATGTGTGCTATCCCTGAGCTCTTTTGCTCAAGGCTAGTGCTCTACAACTTTAAGCCACAGCGCCATTTCTAGTACTGTTTTTTCTTTTACATAACTCAGGGATGTCTTAGTGTCCATTAGTCTGTGATATGAGAAGAAAATAAGAGACCTTATTTAAGAAGACTTGTCACTATTTAATAAGTTATTATGTTGGCTATTGTATAAAATGCATAAAAACAAATTTTCATATTATTAAAAGTAAATTTTCTAGGTGACCTAGAGAAATAAAGTTTGAATATTGGATTTAATACTCCATAATGTTTTTAGTGAGAAAGTTTAAATTGATGAGCTATGTTAAAATGTTATTTTTTCATACTTCATTCTCTTTTTATTCGGAAATTCTGTTGCCCTCGTAAGTATAACATATTTGTAACTAATACTTATTTATAAAATGTAAAGGCCAGGGATCTATATTACACTTCTAGTCTCATTCAGGTTTTGGTTGTATACCTCTATGCTTGATATTATCTTTCTCTATGTATTCATGGTTCTAATTATTTGATTAAATTCTTTACTTTGCTACTAGAATGTAAGCTCTATCTAAGCACACTCCGTTTTTACTTATCCAAATATCTTGAGATTCTTCACAGATCCCAGAACATAGAAGATTACTAGCTGTGCGAGTAAGGGTTTTATGTTACTTAACCTTGAAATATATATAGTATAGCATTTGACACATACTTAGTGTTTAGTAAAGATTTTTCTAAAACAAATTGAAAATATGGCTTATATACATATGTTGTTTATAATACTTGAAAATTTTAAAATGTAATAGGTTATATATAACCTTAAATATTTCATATTGTTCTTTAAATTGATAGCTAATATAGTAGTAAATAATATACTTTTTAACTAATATATTTATATATAATATATAGTTATGTGATATAATTTGAGTGCTTCAACATGTGCCAGGCACCATGCTAAGCTTTTATTTAATATCTTGATTTAACTTTAGAACACTTCATTTAGGATTTAACATACTCATTTTATAGAAGAGGTGGCTGAGATGCAGAAAGGTCAAGTGATTTATCTAAAGCCATAAAGTTAGTAGGGAAAGTTAGTACTTAACCTAGAGCTTAAGACTCTATAACTTATCATTTCAGCAACCTTACAGTCCTATGTAGTGTACAAACTGGAAAATTTTAGGGTTACACATGATAGTTAAGCGTATCGGTTGTTAGTAACTAAAAAGTGTTACATAAATAAAAATGATGAAAGGAAACTTCTTTAAATAAACAGTAATAAGTGATCCAGTAATTATAATGGTTATATTAGTGAATATAAAAAGAAGCTTGAGGATGCTTTTTCTTGAATTACTCTGACTTGGACTTACAACTCATTTATGTTTCTTGTAGGTTTGAGTGGCCGTTTCTTTGTCACTACTCTCCCAGCATTTTTTCAGTAAGTTTTGTTTTCTGGTTTTGCAAATATTAGGAATCAGTAGATGTATACCAGGAATTCTGAGAGTTTTCCATGACTATCACTCATTTAGCATAATGTTTGAGGAGAGACAGACTGCGCTGCCCTGAATGATTGCTGTTAGAAGAGAAGAATGCCTGAAGTGTTGTAGAGAAAGAAGACATAATTTCAGGCAGGAAAAAGGTGGGAATCATCATGTTTTTTCTGTAATATAGAAGGTGAGATGATTCTTAATAGACTAGAACAAAATTGGAAATGTTTTTCTTGATATAGGAGAAGCATGTATATGCATGCCCAGAACAAGAGACACCTTTTGAGAACTATAACTGTTTCTATGTGGCTGGTCCACAAGATGCAGTTGCATCATGCTGGATGAGGAAGGTTAGAGAGACTCAGGTAGTGGCAAAGAAAAAGAAGAGGTTTCAGGGATGCTTAAGAGGTAGGATTATAAGGATTTTGGTGGCTGATTAGCCACTAGACGGAAGAATCTACAATGACTACCAAAGGCCATTGATAACTAATAAATGCGGCCAGCCTGCAAGATAAGGAATACTTAAAATTAGATGAGATTTTGGAAGTAGGGGCCAGAATGACAAAGAAAGTATGGAGTACTTATTCCAAGTGGGGGAATTTAGGTGGCAGTTTGATGTCAGGATCTAGAACCCTGGTTGAAAGATCTGAACTAGATACACATACTGGGAATTCCTCAACGTTGAGGTGCATAACAACTAAAATATATCTAGAAAAAACACGTGCAATGGGAGGAGCAGCAAGTAAAGAAGGGGCTGACCAACATTACGATATCTGTCAAGGAGTGGTCATAGTAGTAGGAAGAAAACCAGAGAGCTTCTATTGGCGTTTGTGATCATTCATAACAAGCCTATGACCTTGAACTTCATCCATGAGACTGGAAAAAAACAAGAAGCTAAAGTAGAAAGGAGGGCATAGTAGTGGATAAATACTAATAACAAGTATAAGAAAAGTGGTAGAAAAGTACAGGATATAGCAGTTAGGAGTCATTGGAGACTATCAGTTTGAGCAGGCTAAATGGGATTGTGAGCACAGAGCCCTCAGTCTCACTGAGTAATGAGTAAGTAATGAAGGGAAGAAAATAGCAGATGAAGAGCCTGTCTTGTGGAAGTTTGATGGTGAGAAGATGAGAGGAAAGGCTAAAGATAGAGGTGAGATTAAGTATTTTATTGTTAATGATGATTTTGAAGAGAGGGACTTGAATGACATATTTGGAAATGTAGATAGAAGTTTTTGTTTGTTTGTTTTTTAACTGATAGCTGTGGCTACTTTGCTATTGTGAGAAAAAAATCAAAATAACTGGTAAAATAAAAACTAATAGAAAGTAATCTGTCCAGATGAACACTGTCAAAAACTTTGGTAATAGTTACAAATTGTACAGTGAAAAAATAGAATGTGTAATGCCTTCCGTTTGGGGATTTCTCATTTGTCATAGATTAAAACTTATGTATGCCTTCTGATTTATACCTAATTATATTCTTTTCTTCATTGGAGCGAATTTAAAATTCATATTTATGACCAATACTTATTTTTATTTTTACTATCTTTCATATTTTGATTTATTGACATTCTACTTGTTTTTATAATCTATAGTGCAAAAGATGGTATATTTCGACGTTACCGTGGCCCAGGAATCTTTGAGGATCTTCAGAATTACATCTTAGAGAAGAAATGGCAATCAGTGGAGCCTCTGACTGGATGGAAATCTCCAGCTTCTCTAACGTAAATTGTTACTGTTTTAATGATAAAGTGTAATAAGCAAAACAATAGATATCACATTAGCCTAGGAACCTAAAAGCCTACATTTGTCTTTATATTCTCTTCTGGTTATCCAGATCCCATATGCCCTTGATGGGCCTTGATGGGTAATGTTTCTGGCTTTGTGACCATGTGTGTTTCAGGTCACTGAAATTCCAGTTTACTGGAAAATTTGGTAGTCAGATCTATGAGAGTCACAAAAAGCCTTTCTTCCAGCTTTTGTACTAAGCCCTGCTAACCTTTTTCGTTCTATAATAGGTAACAAATTGCCACTCTTTCTTCCTTTTAAATTACTGATGAGATAAACTTTCTTTACTTTATGAAAGAATTGTTCTTGTACTTTATGTGGAAAATGAAACCTGTGGTATAATTGGCTACTATACTGCTGGTGTTATTTATGGTCATCAGTGGTAAACTGTATAATATTTGGTGAGGTTGATCAAGCTGAATTCTAATAACTTCATAGTTTTCATTTTGAATGGCATGTTTTTAGTTTATTGTTAAGTATAGATAGGTATAATAAATTATTAACACAGGCACAAATAATACAGTATTTGGGGAATAAATCATCTAGCGGTATCATGTTAATATTCAGGAGACATATAGTTTACTTTAAAAGCAACTTGCCTCTGGCATTTAATTGTATAAGTTACTGAGCACCAATGTTTTTCCAGTGAATATTCTAGGTGTTGAGGTATTCATCAGTGAATAAACAAAAATGGTTACCCCACTCCCTTCAGATAGCTTTAAAATGATTAAGACAGACAATAAAAAAGATAGCTGAGGATACAAAGAATCCTTGACTTGGAAACACTTTTTCAAAAAAACAACATGCTTTACTAAGAGAATTAGGAGTCTTGGGCTACTTTAGATGAAAGGGTTAGGAAAGGCTTCTCTGAGGGGAAGATGAGAAATAAAATATGCAAAGTAACAGGTAAAGAGCCACCCTAATTTGAGAAATAGTGATCAGAGTGTATAATACAGTGAATGTGAGGAAAAGTAGCATAAATGTGAGTAAGAGAGGCCAGCAGAAACCATATCTTATAGGGCCTATGGCTGCAGGAGTGAAAGTTAATCAGTATAAGTGAGGGGAAACAAGATTGGAGAGACACAGAATGGATCAGTTAGAGGGCTTCTGTCTAGCCCTCAGGTGATAGTTTGTAGAAGAGTAGCAATAGATAATTTGGAGAGATAAATGGATTTAAAGTGTTTGTTTGACTAAAGACTTTCTGGAGGTAGAGGGGAGGAGGACCAAAGAATCCTAAGTTAAATTTCCTGGCTTCCTGTTTCAGTAATTGGTGGATCTTGGTTTGCGATTTGGTAGAGAAAACCAACGGTTCTGCACTGGATTGGTTTGTTTTGAAGTGCACACTTTTAGAGCTGTTGAATTGAGTGCATGGGGATGTTTCCTTCCAGAATTCAGGAATACAAAATGTAAAACATTTAGATGATGTCTAAAGTCTTGGAATGGCAGGAAATACTTAGAAAGAGAGAAAAAGTGAGGGCAATGTTTTAAATGGATCCATGAGGTACCCTCCAAGTAGGAAGTTGAGTAGAGAATAAATCAGCAAAAGAAACTAAAAAGGAGTGCCAGTGAGGCAGGAGAGAAAACATTTTTTTGATATGCCATTTTCCAGAAGGCAATGAAAGGTACACAAGAGGAAGGTAGCAGTCATTGTGTCACTTGGTTCCAAGAGGTGAAGGAAGATCAAGTTCAGTTCTGTGACAGGACATAGAATGAAACAAAGATGAGATCATCATAGCTTTGACAAGTACTGGTGTGCAGTTATGAGGACAGAGCCAGGTTTTAGTGGGTTAAAGACAAAGCGAGAAATAGTACAAGTGAAACTAATCTGGGAAGAAATTGGTGCATGAAGCTTGAGGACCCATATTAAGTCTAGGGTTAGTGTTTTTAAAAAGTGGATGTGAGTAGAACATATTTGCATGCAGAGGAAAACTGATCCAGTATAAAGAAACAGATATATGGCTAGTGCAAGAAAAAAAAAACGATGACAGAATCAAATCAGTCAGACAAAATGGACCAGGGCTATGGCACAAATGAGGAATTGAACTGTAACAGGACAGATAGAGTTTCCCAGGGAAACAAGAGAAGGGGAGCATAGGTGTATACCAGGCTCAGATTTGGTAGTGGAAAGCTAACAGAGATTACATCATGGCTTCTGATTTCACAGTGATATATGAGCTTCCATTGCTTGGGGAGCAGAGATGTATAAAGTTTAAAGCAAGGAAGAAGGAAATGAGCTATTATGTCAGAGCCTTAAAAATACAGTAGGACCGGGCAGTATTCACTTAGGTTTGGGAGTCAGTTTTGCATGTTGGTTCCCCAGAGATACTCAGCTGTGTAGGATTTAGGTTTTTGCTACGAATACAATGAAAGGAGAGAGGGCCAAGCAATTGAAATGTGCTTGCACTAAACTAGTTCAAATGATGACCATGGAATCTAACTCTGTAAAAGCAGGAGTGAATCCAGGGGAAAACACTAGGTATCAAGAAGTAGAGGGATCAGTGGAGGGCAGTCTCCCAGACCTGAATTGTGTCTTTTATTTTTTCCATATTGCTATGCACAATCACAGGTTCTCTTCTTTCGTCCTTCTCTTTAGTATGTCTGGAATGGCTGGTCTTTTCAGCATCTCAGGCAAGATTTGGGTGAGTAACCTTAAATAATTATTATATTTTCAGGGAAGTTTTTAAAGATAAAGGGTAGTTTTAAGAGTAAGAGAGCAGAGTAGCTAATATCACTAAAGCAACACAAAATTTGTAGATATCTACTATTTGTGCTTGTGTAATTTCATTTAGCCTATTTATAGAGCTTTGGACCTGTTACTCAAGTCAAAATATGGAAGTATTGTTTATCTTAACCTTTTCAACTATGTCCCTGTTTTTTGCTTTTGGGTTTTTTTTTTTATTACTTTGGGGTTTGAGCTTAGGATTTCATGCTTACTAGCCAAGTACTCTATTACTTAAGCCACTCTGACAAATGTTTTCATGCTGGGTTATTTTTGAGTCTGGATTTTATGTTCTGGTCAGCACTGGACTGTGATCCTCCTATTTGTTCTTTCTCAGTAACTAGGATGACAGGTGCTTGCCACATAGCCAACCATTGATTGAGATAGAGTCTGTGAACTTTTTGCCTGGGCTGGCCTCAGACTTCAGTCCTCTAGATGTCCATCTATCAAGCAGCCTCTATTAACAAGCTTGAATCACTGCATCCAGCCATATATAATCTTGATTATGTCCCTTGATATGTTCCTCTTATTGGTAGAGGGAGCTAAATTCAATAATTTAAAAAAATTATCCTGAAATTAGTATAGTTCAAACATCAAAAAAATTAGTGAATTCCTATTTATGTCTTTTGTGAGCTGTGATTGTCGATCATGCATGACAGCATATTAATATTCAAATAGCTCATAAAGAGTTTGTTTCTCAAACCCATGAACATATGTTGAGGAAAATTTCAGAACATTTTGTACCTCAGTTACTTAATTATCTTGCCTTGTGAGATAGATATGTACTTTAGATATGTTTGTTTTATTTAAATTTTTTTCACTGGAGGCTTGGAGTCAATCTATTTTGGTTAAATTTTAACTTTTTTTTGCATGTATTACATTGAAAAAAACTAGTATTTTCCCTCTCTGCAGATAGTTTGTTTCATGTGGCTTTCTTGTATTGTTTAATTAGCACTGGGTGATCAGTTTGTTCAATCAAGAACTAAGGATTATGAACTGCAAAGTGGAAGCTGAAAGTAAGGGCCATCTGTAGGATGTTGACATTAAGTTGTCAGATCCATATAATCAAATAGTTGTTTGAGCCTTGATACATTGTACAGTCTAATTCAACAGAGTAATTATAATGGATATCAGACAGCATTGGTAGCAAGATCTAACCATAGAACCTGCGGTAAGTTTAGGTTAAGAGAAAATTTTGACTGTAGATTTAGAAAAGATTAGACAGATATTGCTTATCATGTTCACAGATTGAAGAGATAGTTTTGCCTTCCAAGACTATATCAGGAGCTATATATCTTTGATGCATTCTAGAATGTGTTCCTTATCTTATTCACAAAGTGTTTGATTTCTGGCCTGGCAGGACTCATTCCCTGACTTTCATTAGGTGTGGGAAGTCTAATTCTGGTTTTATTGCCTTGACCAGAATTTCTTTCTTACTCAGCAAGTCCTCACTGACTACCCTGCCTGCCTGGTTAGCTCATTCAGCTTCTTTTTGCCAGAAGTCTTACATTAAAGCATGTAACATGTAAAGTTGAGGACATAGCCTTAACTCTTATGTGTTTGTATGTATGTGTGTGTGTGTGTGTGCATGTGTGTGTGTGTGCGTGTGTGTGTGTGTATGTGTGTGTGTGTAGGTGTGTGTGTGCGTGTGTGTGTGTGTGTGTGTTTTCCAGCCCTGGGGCTCGAACTCGGTGCCTGGGCAGGTGTCCTTGAGCTTTTTTGCTCAGACTAGCACTCTACCACTTGAGCCACCACTCCACTTCTGGCTTTTTGCTGGTTAATTAGGGATAAGAATCTCATGGACTTTCTTGCCTGGGCTGCCTTTGAACTGTGTCCTGAGTAGCTAGGATGATGGGTATGAGTCACCAGCGCTGTCCTCAGAGTCTGTTCTTAACTCAGATCTAGATCATCAACTTGTGGTGCTCAAAAGAAACATTGCACATGGGTAGGTGAGGAAATGACAAAGAGAGACCATAGCTTGTCTAGAATCCAAAGATGAATTTATCTTAAAAACATGGAAGGAGAAAGGAGGAGTTACAGGTCTTGTAAGTCAAAATCATCGATTCCTATCCACGGTGTATTCTATGAATACATGTATAGTTCCTTACCAGAACTCCCTTGCATATATAGCTTGGAAATACTTCTAAGAAAAAATATGGAAGTTATCAGCTGGGAGAAAAGTTATATGTATATATACATATATATATATTATATAAAACAATATCTAGAAAGTACATAACAATAATTTTATTTGATACTAGAATTATGGCTTATTTATTAAAACATTTTTTCTGTGATTTCTAGTTTTTCTATCATGAAAAGGGAAAAATGCAAACAATAGCAGTAGATGATCAGATTCTCCTGAACTAATGACTTCTTAAAGTCTTTGAGTTTCTACTTTAGGAATGAAACTCATTAAAAGCTAGTCTCCTGGAGCCTAGAATTACCATGTTGAGATAATCCCGTGATGTGAATTTGGGGATTTTGTTTCATTTGCATTTGGCTGATGCAGGAGGATAGCCAGAGTAATGCTAGCCTGAGCTACATAATGAGTCAGCCTGGGGTAGACAGCAAGAACGCCTATCTCACAGCAACAAACTTAATGAAAGATGCCAACCCTCTAAAGGATGGTGCAGGTGATGAAATGTCATGAGAGTGAGGTGCAGAAGACTGACTCTGAGGAAGCACCACTGTTGTCTCTGGGTCACAGTCAGGATTACGAATCTCTGGTTTGAGATTTTGTCTGTTGGTGAAGATATAGACAGAAGTTCTCATCTCTTCTTATTGGCCTCAGTGCTGGATGAGAGGCAACTTGCTTGTATTTTAAAGAAACACAAGCTATTGTTTCCCACCTTGTGTGCATGTTTCTGGACCCACAGACGCTACGAAGTATTGAGAGGTAGTTTTGAAGGCAGTGTGAACTTGGGCACTGCTCTCACCTGGGGAAGATATTTTGGTGCCTGTGGTCACCTTTGGTCAGTGAGGGAAAGAGATCAAGTTCTTGTCACTGAACTCCTCAGAGAAAACATCTTGTGATATCAGTGAGTTCTGTCCTACAGGGCCAGTACTGCTTTGAGGACAACCATACAATGCTGGCTGAGTGTACTGGGGTCTCTGAGTATACTGGGGTGGGGTGATCTTTCATTCATTCTTGGTAGTTCAGACTTGTATAGTCAATGTTGACCTTCTTGTGGAGAGAACTCTTTGCCTCCTAATTGAGAGTGGCTGGGCTCTGTTCTTTAAGTCAGTCTGAGCACTGATTAGAATGTGCTTACGTTTACTCTATTATAATGAGTTTTTAATTTAATTTCCTCAGTAAAGTATATATGTCCCCCAGTTAGAGCTATAACTTAGTCAAGTGACATGTGGTATAGTTTCAGTAAACACCGTAGGATACTTCTTTGTATTGAGAACATGTGATATTGAACAAGGATCAATTTTTGTCCAAGTGGAAACTGGCAATGGGTTATTCCCTGTCCCCTCCCCAAATTAGACAAATGTATATACAAGATGCAGGGTACCAAAATCAAGTACAATGACACTAGGGGATATACCATAGAGGGAAGAACATACAAAAGAAACCAAAAAATCACATAGTACCTTGAAACCCCACAAGGCAGTATATTGGAAATGAACTTTACAACTTTAGGAGAAAGGAGAGGAGTGAGGGAGGTGGGGGAGGGAAGGGATAGTGGGAGAACAACAAGAGAGGGGTAACAATGCTCCACAAGAAATGTACTCAGTGCCTTACTCACGTAACTGTAACCCTCTGTACAGCGTCTTCACAATAAAATAAAATTTAAAAAGAAGCAAAAAAATCTAAAACTGAATTAGATCTTTCTTAATCAGTTATTACTTTGGATACATAATACTACATCTCCTAACATAATAGGTTCCAAGCCATTGGGAAGTTAAATAAATGAAGCTTTAATTCTAAATTTATGAAAACTTTATATGATTAAGATCCTTAGTAAAAATCACCCAAAAGACCACAAGATGGCAGAATTTCTTTAAATCATTTAAAGAGGAAGTTGATACAAGAAAATTGAAATAGAGCTTATTAAAATAAGGCAATGTCTAAAATACTAGGAAATGTTAGAACCAGAACGCAGTGATACAAAGATAAGGTTTACTGAAATCCAAAAATTGGCTTTAGTCATATGTTTTGCAGAAAGGACTACATTATTAATCTCAAAGATTGATTTTATTTATTCCAACCACTTTATTCAACCTTAACCTGGAGTAATGTGAGTCATCACAGATTTATAAAGCATGTTCTTGAACATATCCATGAGACAACTCACAGGCAGACTGGCCCTGAACATCTCCCAGTTTGTAGGCACATATCCGGATCTAAGCCTGGTGATGGTGCTGAGTCATCAATAAAACCTGAAATTGTTCAGCCCACATCATTGCCACAGGTAGGAACTGTACATTATCTTTCGAGTTGTACTGAAAAGATTTGGAAACTACCTTTTCATATTGAGGATACCTCTTTTTGCCTGCTGGGTGGCAGAATGCTGGGCTGCTCTCCATAAGTCATTATTCTGTTGAACATACTGTGAGAACTAGTACCCTCCAAAGAGGAAAGATGACAAATTTATGAGTTAAGATTTTTGTTTGTATTTCCTGTAACTAGTTTAAAGTTTTGATTTTCTGTATTTATAACAAATGTCCACCGAATACTTTGATTTTACATAGCAGTCTTTAAGTAGTTGCTGAAGCTTTACATTGGTCAGATTATTCTAAACTACTTAACATTATTTTTGTTAGTTCATTCAGAATTAAGGCAGACTAAATTATATTTCTTAATTGCTTCACATGAACTAAAGAAACTAATCAAAGTGATTTAGATTTTTTAATATATATTTTTTATTTTAAAGATACTGTACAGAGGGGTTACAGTTATATGAGCAAAGTAATGAGTCCATTTCCTATCAAGCATTGTTAGCCCTTTCTTTGTTTTTCCCCTACCATTCCCTTTCCACCCCACCTCTCCAACTCTGCCCTCACCCCCACCCCCGACTGGAAGTTGTAAAGTTCGTTTTCAACATAGTGTCTTGTACATCTCATTGTTGCCCTGGGTCATCCTGTATCCTTATTTCAGCATTTTGTTATTTCCTTTCCCTTCCCCAAATTAGAAAAATGTATATACAAGATGCACGATACTCGAATCAAATACAGTGACAACAAGGGATATACCATGGGGGAAGAACATACAAAGAAACAAACAAACAAAAAAAAACACCACATAGTACATTGTAACTACATTAAAAAGAACAACAAAAAGGATAAAATCTCCTGTGTCCCTATCTGGGGGTCCATTTTGCTTAACCTCAGGTTATATGGTCATTTGTACATAGCTTTTGACCTCTTCTGCTTGTCCTAGACATATACTAATTATTGCTGATGAGGGAAACCATGGACCTATGTTTCTTTGAGTCTGTCTTACTTTGCTTAATATAATTTTTTCCAAGTCTTTCCATTTCCTAATGGAGGTATAGAATTCCAGTGTGTATATGTGTATGTGTGTGTGTATGTATCTCACATTTTCTTTATTCATCTACTGAGGGGCATCTGGGTTGGTTCCATATCTTAGCTATGGTGAATAATGCTGCAATAAACATAGTTGTGCTGGTACCTTTAGTATAGCCTTGTTTGTGATCCTTTGGGTAAATGTTTAAAAGTGGGATTGCTGGGTCATAGGAGAGCTCTATTTATAGTTTTTTGAGGAACCTCCATACTGCTTTCTAAAGTGGTTGAACAAGTTTACATTCCCACCAACAATGCAGTAGGGTTCCCTTTTGGCCACATCCCCTCCAGCATCTGTTTCTTGATTATAGCCATTTTAATTGGGGTGAGGTAGAATCTCAAAGTTGTTTTGATTTACATTTCTTTATGGCTAGAGAAGTTGAGCATTTCTTCATGTATCTATTGGCCATTCCTATTTCCTCTTCAGAGAAGTCTCTCTTTAAGTATTTGGCCCACTTATTAATCGGGCGGTTGATACTGGCACATGAACAGACCTGAGGACCAATGGAATAGAAAGACCCAGAAATGAACCCACAGACCAATAGCCATCTTCAATAAGGGAGCTAAAAAAATAGAATGGAAGAAAGACAGCCTTTTCAGTAAATGGTGCTGGCAAAGTTAGTTAAACATCTGTAGAAAACTAAAGCTAGTTCCCTATAGATCCACCCTGCACCAGAATCAACTCCAAATGGATCAAAAGACCACAAAGTCAAAACAGACACCCTGAAAACATTACAGGAAGGAATAGGAGAAATTAGGGATTCTTGGCACAGGCTGAAATTTTCTTAATAGAGACCCAGAAGCACAACAAATCAAAGAAAGATTGGACAAATGGGATTGCATGAAACTGCAGAGCTTCTGCAGGGCAAAGGACATAGCTAGCAAGATCAGTAGAAAGCCCACAGATTGGGAGAAGATCTTCACTAGCCATACAACAGACAAGGGTCTCATATCTAAAATATACTTAGAACTCAAAAAATTAAATCCCCCAACAACAAATCCTCGAAGTGATTTAGATTTTTAGAAATAAGAAATAAAAGTTGCATCAGTTTTTTTCAGTTCTTGGAAACTTAGTTATTATGTTTGCTTGCTGCTGCTATCTAACGAGTAGCCATTTCATCCTTTATCCAGTAATTGCTTGAACTTTAGTTAATGCTAAGTTTTGAGTCTGTAAGGGTCTAAACCAGATGATTGGAACTTCATGGGAAAGTGGGCTTTGTATTAAATGATCAGGTTCATGCTTATAAGTCCTGTATTATTTAGAATAATGTATGTAATTAGTAGCTAAGTTGTCCCTTTCATTTTTAGTATTTGTTAACAAACAATATCAGAAGATAGTAAGAATGAAATGATGTACTCTAAGGCTAGAGGTGTGGTTCTAGTGCATAGCAAGTGTGAAGCCCTGAGTTCAAACCCCAATACTGCCAAGACATACAAACAAAAATAGTTTTGCCAGGGGCTGGTGGCTCCCACTTGTAATTCTAACTACTTGGAAGGTGGATACTCTTAAGAGTTGAGGTTCAAAGCCAGCTCAGATATTGGTGGCCCCACATGTAATCCTAGCTACTTGAAAGATGGCAATCAGAAGGGTTGACATTCAAGGCCAGCTCAAACAAAATCTTTGCAGTTCCCACCTCCTCCGTCAATAGCTGGGGAAGATGATGTATGGCTATCATCCCAGCTATGTCGCAGGATGAGATCAAGTGGATAGTGATTCCAGTTGAGAGGGCCCTTCTCAACAGAAAAAAAAAAAAGAAAAGAAAAAGCACCATATCAGCTATAATGGCGAGCTTTAGCATATCTCTCTCTCTATATATATATAGAGAGAGATAGATATAGTTATACACACTCATATATTTATATATATACCATATATATATATCATATGGTATATGTACATATATACACACACATACTCTCTCTCAAAAGACTGATGAAATCTCATTTGCTCATAATAAATTATCCAAGAAAGCATTTTTCTCTCTAATATTGTTTTTCAGATAATAAATTTAGTAAACTACTAGTAAGGATGATTAGGGGTAAAGCAATAAGTTCAGTTAGAAAACGTAAGGATGGGCATATTTTACATGGTTTGTGTTATCTTTGCACAAAAATTGCTAAATGCATATCTAAGACGTTTCTTTTTTAATTGATGACATGTTATGATTAAACTTTATGGTATATTTAATTATTAGATGAGGGAGACAAAAACAAAAAAAATACTCTGATGGGGAAAAGACCTAGAAAGCAGTTTTACCAGAGATATCTTCAGATCCTGAGCTCTTAAGGAAGTATAACTTTATTAGATAATGACTTTAATTACTACTTTCCATTTATTTACCAATGCTCTAAAATTTGACGTGTTCATTAAGAATCACTTGAGTATATAAACTTTTGTGGGAACTTACCTAAAGAGAGATAATTTATAGATTGCAGTTACAGCTAAAGAAGGTAATTCGAATATTTTTGTCTTTGAATACGTTTTTTTTTTCTTACAGCATCTTCACAACTATTTCACAGTGACTCTGGGAGTTCCTGCTTGGTGTTCTTATGTCTTTTTCGTACTTGCCACTTTGGTTTTCGGCCTTTTCATGGGTCTGGTAAGAGATAATACCAATTATTTTTCTTTTCTTCAAAGCAAAGTACATTTCTTATAAAATTAAAAGGCAGCCAAGAAAGAAAAAAACACATAATAATTCTTTTATATGCAGTCTAAGCAGTTAAATAGTACATGCTTATTTGACACTTCTTTTGATGGAAATGTGAGATATAATGGAAAATTCATTACGTTATTATCTTGCTATTCAGAATATGACAGTGGTGAAGAAGAAATAGAAACCTAAATTGAATTGATAAACAGTTTCTAAACCAAATCATCTGTGATTTCACACACTGCCTACTTGTTTAGAATGTTAGGACTACTCAGGGCAGCGGTGACTTTTTTTCTTATTGATATGCTCCAATTGAACCTCTGATCTTGACTGGTTGCATATACATACAATATAGTTTTCTGGAAGTGAATTTTGTAAGACAATATTTATTAAAAAAGAGAGTCAATATCATGGAAATAAATACTATTCAAAGCAAATCACTCTCTCTTTTGGACTTGAAATCCAGGACTAGTCAGTATGGTTTACTTTTTAGGTATTCTATTTTTTGTTTTTCTTTTATTTTTTGGGTATTTCAGATGCAAAATGTTTGTCATGTTTTACGCTTTGTGACAAGTAATTCTTTTATCTTTTAAATTACACTTGATCAATTTGCTTACATGTTAAATTCATCTAATACAAATTTTTTAAAACATTTATATTATATATTAGTAGCTCCTAAGCATTCTATAGTGAAAGTAATTAATGAACAGTTTTATATAAAAGAATCTAATGGAATTTGTCTCTCTAGCATTGGAGTTTTTTGGTTTTGAATAACTCCAAAGAGTAAAGAGAATTATTTTTATTTTTCCCTGATACTCACAGTGTCTTTGATATTTGGCTGTGGCTGTTAAACTTCAGAAGTGGGAATGACGCTTAGCTTCTGATGTAAGCAATGAGTTAGGTCCCAGGTATATCCTGTTCTGTTTCATTAATTGTATTGCTAATTGATATGGCTCTGTTTTGCTGGTTTGAGTGGATTTGATTTTGGACGTAGAACGCCACGGTCTGTGCTTCCCCACTTGCTGGTTAGTGCTAGATTTTTCTAGATGTGTATTTTAGGATAATACGAGGTTCTTGTGGAGTGGTTAATATGAGGTCCTGAGCGAGTCAGAGATGGAGCCATTGGGAATGTAGGCTGAGAGCATACCTTTTGGAAAACCAGTGACAGCTCTTTTCGTCTTAAAGAGTATTGATTTTTAAAATATTTTTATTGTCTCTAAATTGTTGTACAAAGAAGTTGCCATTCCACAAAGCCTTACATGAGTACAGTTCATCTTAACAATGTCACCTCATTCTCCCTGTCTTCCTCCCAACTCTAGCCCTTCCCTCAATTTTCTTAATTTTGTAGGATATGAATTGAATCTTCCTCTCTTCATTTGTCTGTGCTATCCTCTTGATCCACCCTCCTCAGTTTTCATTATCATTTCCATTTCCTGGTGCTTTTGTTATTGGATTGGATTTTTTATTGGATTTTGAGTTAGCATTTTTAAGTTTGAGTTCTCTGCTGCAAGTACCATATTTTGGTTAATGCATTTGTGTACAGTTGGATACCACCTCAAAGTGTTTACTTATATATTTATAAATGTATATTAGTGTCCACATTACAAGAAAAAATGCATCCTTTGTATCTCTAAGCCTGACTTATTTCACTTATTTTTCAAGATCCTTCCATTTCTTTGCAAATGATGCAGTATCATTCTTTCAAATGCATGAGTAAAATTTCATTGTGCACATATACCATTTTTTCTTAATCCATTCAGACACCGAGGGGCATCTGTGCTGATTTCCTAACTTGGCCTGAAAACCAGTGAAACAGAAGAGTTTTAGAATATTATCTTTGAGACTGACGAAGTCTAAGAAATAGAATCAAACTTGACCTTGCATGAGCTTTATTTGGAAACTTAGACTGAAATAACCATTGAGGAAGGTTATTAGAGCCTTGTCCTGAAGAAAGAAGAGTTGATTTCTGACTGTTCACATGATCAAATGAAAAGCACTATCCATGCTTTATGATAAATTTGGAAGATAAATTTTTAATAATATAATATATTACTCCATTTCTAGAAAGTAGCAAATGTCTATCTCTGTTCAAAATACCTTCACTACAATTGCGTACAGAATTTGCCTTATCATTTTTAATTTCATGGCTACCTTTAAACTTATCTTTTCTAAAATGGATAAATTTTAACAACTACATTCGCACCTTATTTTAAATTATTTCAGGATGGCATTTTCATTAATTTCTAGGTTTTAGAGCATGTTGGGGACTTCTGCTGGTCAGCCTCTTGAGGCTACTTTGCGTGGCCCAGAGTTACAGCTGTGCCTTGTCCTGTCCAGTGGACTTGGGAACGGCACATCTGTTAGGAAGTTGGGATCTAAAGAGGGCTCGGTGTTATCAACTGAGTTAAAACTAAATGAAGTCTGAGTCGAGAGTGTTGTGCATTGAATTTCCCAAAGAAGAAGAGGATAGGAATTGGTCCAGTACTCAAAAGGAGCAGCTTTTTGGGTGCTCCATTGGATCTTACTGAAGGTCCTAGAGCCAACAGGTTTCATGAATTACTTGTATTCTCATCCAGGATTAGAAGTAAAAGTCTTAGATGTGTGGTTCAATGGCTGAAATCTGAGCCTAGGCCTGCCATCATGTGAAGTTTGGCCCCGGCAACCTCTGTCCTGTTCATCTTCATGGAGTTAACTTTCCTCCTACCCAAGAAAGTGGCATGGTTTCCATAAAGATGGTTTTGATTAAGTTACTGGTTCATATAAGCTTGACTGTTACGCTCACTTTCTGAATTTTAGAAGATAGGAAACTAAGACAGGTGTATTATAATTTGAGTTTTGTTTTCTTGATTCTGCTTAGTGATTATTGAAATATTTTGCTAAACAGTATTTTTTTATATTTAAACAAAGGGTTTCATTTTAGGATAACTTATGTATTTTTCATTTTTCACCCTTCTGGGAAGGATCTTGAATGCATATTCAATTACATTACCCAGTAACTTTGAAGGTTGGAAGGGAGCATAGTCCCGGATAAGCAGAAGAGCCATGCAGAACATAAACAGTAAGCCAGGTAGCTTGAGGAAAAGTGTTTCAAGTTAAATAGTTCACTCACAGAAAAAATAGAAGGGCAGGTTTGTTTTAGTCTCTTTCTTATCTGTTAATATGTATAAGCGTTGTCAAACTTTAGTGCTTAGGTAAATTGTTTTCTTAGATGCTGTTAATCATGGCTTACCCAGGGCCTTCCACAGAGGTAGATATTGAGTATTAGAGACCTGACTGTTACCCTCTAAAAAAATGTGTCTGCCCTCCTTGTGTAGGTACATGACTAACTGCACTGTCTGTATGCAAGCCAAAACCTGAAGATGAAAAAGAGGGTTTCATCCCCCTAGGGGCTATATTTCTAAACAGTACCATTTTGTAGTGGCTTAGAAAGTGGACCATTTTAAGGGCATGCTTCATGACAACCAAAAAAAGATCTTGAACTAAAAATTCTAATGGAAGAATGAGAGGATTCCCCACTTCCTGACAAGAAGGCATATATGGAATTGAATACTATCAGATATAAAACAGACTTTGTCACAAGTAGAAAGCAGCTAAGTGAATTGTTCAAGGTCATATAACTAGTAAAGGGAAAAAGGTGAAACTAGTCTCCTATGAGGTTTTCCTAATCAGCACCAGCTCAGGCCTATAGAGGGCCCAGGCCTTCATCCGTGAGACTTTGTGGAAAATGCTTATATTTCTTGTTACTGGAAGGTGTTTCTTCTTTCAGTTGCAATGTGCCAACATCAAAATTTTCCTCTGTCTGGTGGAAACACAGACATAAAAGACATTACGCCTTGTGAATAGCTAGTAAACACATAAAAATCACATTTGAAATATAAAACTTTTCCTTTCAGTCCTTCCAGACATAAACATTTTTCTTTCTGTTGAACTTAATGACTAGGTATTTATTGTTCTCCAGCCTTCATGTACTTTCTGCATCTCTTTGCCTCACCTGTGGGTCTTCTCAGCTGGGCATTTGGGTCTTTTTCTGGATGCATGAGTATCAGGAGTCTTAGATGGTATAATTTAGAGCAGCTGTCAGGCAGTGAGTATTGCCCATCTTCTCCTATTAAGGCCCAGGGCCTTAGTGCCTCCTCCTTCTATAGGCATTCCTGATCATTTTCCACCCCATAATTGATTGTCACTTCTTTATATATCAGCTATCAAAATGTATTCATTGTATTAGACTTATGTTTCATCATTGTTTTATAATTAAACTGCTCATTTGTCCTCTTTTCTATACTTCTCAGATATTAACAAGTTTCTTCAAACTTAATGAACCAAATATCAAATACTGTGTTAAATGAATATATTCATTGTAACAATCTTAACCATAAGATGGGATATTCTTGTGATGTTTATAAAATTGAATTTAAAAAACCTCTGGCTTTGACTTATTTAAAACTTTAGAGCATCAGGAAAAACACTGCTGGTATATGTAGTACTATTACTATTTTTTAAGTCTAGCCAATTATTTAAAGAAAAATCATAGTCCAGCTGTTAGTTAGATACAAGAAGAAATGTGCTTTCTAAAAGTGTAGCTGCTTCCAGTGTTGGAGCTATTTGTATTTCGGTGCTGTGGAGGAGGGAGGGGAGTGGAAAAGTCAGTTGGAAAGATTGGTTTCAGCTTACTTGTGGCTCTGGCTGACTGCCCTGTAGGACACAAGCTGTCAGTTTCATCAGCATGGCCCATGCTGGTCCCTGGTCATGGAACATGGACTGCTGTGGTTCTTAAGGAAAAGGCGTGTTTATTATAGTAGAAGATAACTAATACATCCATCACTGTCAGAGGTGAAGATAATCAACCACTGCCTAGAATTTAGTTAAGATCACTGAAGCTTTGCTCACAGTTTGTCCCTGAGACAGTTCTTAAAATATTCTTATGATTCCAAACTTTGAAATTTTCTTTCATTCAATTAAGGGCTCACTATTAGTGTGAGGTAGTTCTACTGCAGAGTAGTTTTGTTTTCCAAAAACAGTGTTTTCAGAGACCATTTTAGACTTGGCTGACAATGTCTGTTTTCTTATGCTGGTTTAATTTATCTATTTATAGTGAGCTCCCTGTGGACTTTTGATTTTGCGGTGCTTATTCTAAATTAATAGTGTTTCCTGTATTGTGTCACATTCTGAAAGTAGGAAATTTCTAATTATAACCTTGTCTTTTTGAAGGCTTTCAACAGGCTGCTAATTATTTGTCTAAGAATGTCAGGTTATAGAAGGAAGGCCTAATTTTGAGGCCCTTTGGTAAATGCCCTGTCTTCTCACTGCAGAATTGTTCTTCTTCCCTCAGGTCTTGGTAATAATATCAGAATGTTTCTATGTGCCACTTCCAAGGAATTCATCTGAACATTCTGGTAAGTATATTCTCACATGGTAGAATATTTTTGGACTTTGGGATTGTTTTACGGCTCAGAATTCACTTTTGTACTGTTATGGATCATAGGTTTTTCCCTTTGATTTACCTGGTAACCAAACTGTCATCATTAGCAGTTCCGTAAAATGTGCTCTCCAGATTTGAATAAAATTATATTCCCTCCTCTAAATTAGAGAATATTAAATATTGGCAATTTTATTTTCCCTTTAGTTTATGCCCTTCATTAATAAACAGGAGACCTTTCCTCTGTTGAGTTGGAACGATGAGAAGTGGGACAGGAGAACTCACATCTGTTGGGTCTCTGTGGTGTATCATTACGCCAAATACTTTAGAAGAAGTCTCTCCAAATCCTTATAATGTGCTATACTTGATTTTGTTTTCTGGGACTAAGTAACCCTGGATTTGAAAGTCTATTCCTGACTAGTTTTGAGGCAGCATATTAATTTCTATTTACTAAAATTTATTGGAAGTTTCTCATATCTCTTTTTACTTCATGAAAATTTTTAGACTTTAAAATTTTCATAGATAGTTGAACACTGTGTATATGCCTTAAAATTCTTAAATGTAACAGAAACCCAGCATAAAGCATCTTAGGGAAAAAGATGAAAATTTACTAGCTTATATAACTGAAAACTTCAAGAGTATTCTGGCTTTAAGCCCAGCCTAAATGATGCTAGGTTTCTATTTCCAGGAGGTTCATTCAAGAGCCCTAACTCACCTTTTATCAGTTTAGCTAACTCTACAGAAAGAGGAACGCTTTTCTTCCTGACTCTGTTCCTAAACTCTTTGGGGAAGATCCCAAACAGTTTCAGTTTCGGTTGCATTATTGAACCAGTCCCTATGGCCACTGGGGTCACTAAACTTGCTACGAGGTAATAAACGTAAAGGATGAGGAAACGTTTGCTCTCCATGACTATGTGATCTGTGAAAGTAAACGTGGTCAGGAGAGAATGGAAAAACCCTGCATGGAGCTAGGCTGCCTAGCCGAGGATCTGTCCATTATGTTCTGAAAGCTTCAAGGTGCTGAAAACTCATTTTCTCCAGTTGCAATCCTTTATTTAGAGGATGCTTTTCTGTCTTCTCTCCACAGATCAGGACCAGAGGTCAGAGGAGGCTCATGGGGTTGAACAGCTGCAGGATGCAGAGGAGGATAAAGATGACTCAAATGAAGAAGAAAACAAGGACAGCCTTGTGGATGATGAGGAAGAGAAAGAAGAGCTTGGCGATGAGGATGAGGATGAGGAGGAAGAGGACAACCCAGGTGGTGGTGTGGATGAGGAGAAGGATGATGTCAGTGGCCAGGGTCCCAAGAAGGAGGGCAGTATGACTGTGAAAGAGGGTGAACCTGACAAACCTGGCGAAGATATCCCTGAGCAGCCCCGCCCCGCTAGCACGGAGCTGGCAGAAGACTCACTGAGGCAGCGCAAGAGTCAGCATGCTAAAAAGGAGCCATAGGTTAAATGGTACTCTTTCCAAGGACACAGACCAAAAGAATACTTCAGCTTCCCTCTGGTTTTCAGTTTAAACCAAATCCTTAGTTTTTCCTGAATCAGCAAGCCTCTCTCTCTGAAAAGGTGACCTCCAATCATGTAGATGCATGGGCTGTAAGCCTGTTTATGTTAAGAATCAAGAATGACAATCAAGAGACTGAAAAACAAGATGCTTTTAGGATCTAGTTGTGGACATAGGATGGGATCAAGTTCATTTATTTGGAGCTGGAGAGTCACCCACTGCCCTCATTAGCACCTTCTAGAGATAAGGCTGCAGGCTCCATAAAATGATAGAAAAGCTATCTTCTCAGCACACCCTGTTTTACTTCCTTTTCACATGTTACATATTGATTGTTCTGTCACACTGTAAGAAGCACCAGGTACCATACAGCACATAGACACATTTTTGGAGACAAAATTTGAGAGGGTCTGGGATATAATTTATCAACAAAATTACTAGGGTGTTGAGAAGTCAGCTCTCTAACTCTCCTTTGTTATCTTTTACTTCTTGCCTTTAATTTACCCAGTTTTTCTGCCATAGACCTGCAGATACTCCGCTCTTCCCCGTTCATCCTAAGCACTCTGCAGCCAGGTCTGCATCCACCACACATATTCCGACTTAAAGGTTTAGATAATCATTAACCACAGCCTGTGAGAATATGACTGCCAAGCTTCTCCAATGGAAAGTTGGAGTCTTTGGAAATTCAAAAGGAAGTAGGGATTTTATACAACAGATTTTAAAAAACCACTTTTGCCCAACATGTAATAGGTTCTTTTTTCTTTTCCTTTCTTTTTTTCTTTTTTTTTTAAAAGCCGGAAGTGCTCTAAGTCTTGCATGAGTATAAAGTCCTATGCAGAAAACTTGAATGTTATGTTGTTTTCTTTCCATCTCAAGGGGTTCTCTGACTCTTGAACCACTTTAATAACAACTGAAAAGCCATTTCTGATTTTCTTTCCATGATGTGTTATTGGTGAAGAAATTAATGAAAGTTAGTATCAGGAGGTGAAAGATTTGATTTTGTTTCCATCTTCTTTACTCTTCTAGAGAATCGTATCTTTGTAAAGGTCTCACTGTTCAATCCACTACAAATTCCCAGAGAGCCCAGTTTCTTTAAAAATATCCATCTATCTCCTCTCTTACCTGATTTATGTCTTAGAATAAATTCATAAAATTAGATTCTAGGCATATGAAAGATGCTTAAAGTCAGTCTTAGGCCCCTAAGGTCCAGGCAAAATAATGAGTAAAGGTTTATGAAATTCGGGAAGTTTCTGTCTTCTTTATAAAGGAATATATAATGTTTAGGTAACTCTTTCCCTGTACTAACCGAAGCATGGTGGGGGAGGTTCTGACACTCTGCCCTCCTGCAGTTGAATAAGGCTCCTGTCAGCCTTACACAAAGGAGGTTTTTAGTCTGATAGTCTGTTTTGAGAAGAGGCTATTTTTCATCTTTCCAACTTGTCTTGGTGTACGGTAGTTTGTTAAGAGTTGCTGTTCATTGTGTTCTTCAGACAGCAGTGTGACCTCAAATTTGAGCACATTGATGGATGGAAAAATCCTTAACATGTGCTTATCCCCTGCCCCTATTGCCATGTTTCTGCCTGGCTGATTAGTGTCATGGTTCAGAGGGTAGCATTTCCACCTCTCTGATCCAAGAAACTACTGGCTCAGAACTGGGTTATGTCTGCCTTCTGGTCACTGAATTTCCTTCTCTTAAAATCAGTGAAACAAAGTTTTCAAAGAATAGTAAATTCAAGTTCAGAGTTATGGAGTAAGAAAAGTTTCATAGTTTGGCTTTTCTTTATAATGAATCTCCCCATCAAGTTGAAATATTTTTTTTTTCAGTGCTATTTTTGACTACAGGGGAAGGCACAAGGAAATTATTCAACACTGGCTTTTTATACATACAAAGCCAGTTTCCACTTGGACCCCATTGGTACCTAATTGTATAATAAGAAAATGTATTATTTTGCTCAGCAAAACTTAAAAAAAATGAAATGTGGCTCAAAAATTATCTTGGAGAAGAACATACAGTAAAAGTATCTATAGGACTCGTTTTTACTGATGAGGTTTCTAGTATTAAAAGGCCAGTTATGTATACATTTAATTTCTGTCCTCTCAAAACCTTTAAGTTTATTTTCAATAATTAGTGTAAAATGAAAAGAAAAAGTCAATCTATAATAATTTAAAACTAGATTAATATTCTAATAAAACTAATTTTTACCTGATTTTTCAATCACGAATCCCTCTTTTGCATTATCAGCTATTTAATTACAGATGCAATTTTATATACATTAAAATTAGGTGAAGAAGATTGTGGACTGGAGATGCTCAGCACTTTTATGTGTAGGTATTTGAAATAAGGTGCCTTGTGATTGTTTAGAAGGAGTATTTGAAACTTCTAGTTATCTGTGTGATTTCTTTTGTAGTACATTCTGTGTTTGGTCTGCTGAACCAAGCCAACTTGACTAGAAATGTCATAATGAAGCAACACACTATTTCCCTTTGAAGTATAATCACTGAATAGGGAATGATAGGACCTATTCAATTCACATGCCATTCACATTGCTTGGCATGTCCGTACAGTTTCATCTTGTGTGTAGGATCCCTGTCTTGTTACGTAAATACTCTAGTATAAAGTAAACAGCCTTTAGCCAGGTTGGCTTTTGACAGTTGAGAAAGCTACACTTTGACTTCTTATGGCCAAAAACATTTGTTGGTAATCTGTGGTGTTGCAAGGTGTTTAGATGTCTATAAGTCTGCAAAATTGTGCCCTGTAACACCTTAGGGTAGAGGATAGAAATGTAGTTAAGGAATAGTTACCATGTGACTTTTTATTAGCAAATCCTTTGGGAATGGAGCTGGCTTGTTGCTTTATAGGATGGGAACATAAAAGAGTCTGAAATAAAATGAAAAGGCTGCAAAGAAAGTCAATTTGAAGTCTGAAAGGAAGGGGGAACTACTGCTTTTGGTGATAGACATCAGAAGGGTTTCTGCCATTCACCTCAGTGCTGCAGAGCATGATTTCTGCCAATATTAAATATGGATGGTGGCCTGTCCTGTCAAGAACACCAATGGATTACAAAGTGTTTGTGTAAATCTTTTGTGCCAACATGGCAGTTCTTTCTGTATAGTGTCTTATATCTTGATCCTCTGGAAAAAATTATAGCCAGTCTTGCAGAATCCAAGTATAGAGTCATCAATTTGATTGCACCTGTTGGAGCAGTTCTGTGGACAGCTTTCCAAAAACAGGAGGTGCAATTGAAGGGTGTTTGAAACCCTCAGCCCAGAGGTGGCCTTCAGATGGTTATTCTCAGTGGAGGTTTGTGTAGATTGTACTGCTGTAAATAAGTATGTGTGTGACTCCTGTGTCTTTGTCCTGTTTCCAATGTCATTTAATTGTATTTGTTACCAGCCAGCTTCGTGGAAATGCGGTTTTTATACTCAAGACACTGGTTGTTTGTACTGCAGCATTGTGGGTTTGTCCTCTTTATGCCTTGTAAATGTTTTGATTATTTACTTGTGTATTTATTTTTTCTCTTTATTGATGTGTTCCTTGTTTTCTCAAATAGATATGTAGCCATTAAAGTGAGAAGTTGAGTCATTGTTATGTGACCATAGAATTCTACATAATCCTGTATCTTATATGATTTTCTTTTACTGTAAATTTCTATTTGCATCAAAACAATGATAGTTATGACTAAGTAAAAACAAAATAATGTATTTTCACAAAAACTGTTTGCTTAGGCTGCTAAAATATTACTTTGTTAAGAAATATTTTATCTCTGTGTTTATTCCCTATCTAGTCATTCTTTACTTCTCACTCTCATGACTTGGTGTAGAACCTCAACCATATGCTGTTTAGCTGCTCAAGGACAAGTCCAGAGATTCAAGGGTTCCTCCCCATCACAGCTGAATACGTAGTAACTCCACACTTGCTTCCCATGCCTTGCTCTGTCTTGAAGTCTGAGGATGACACAGCTGGAGCAGACACTAAATGATGGTGCAGTTACTCCTAAACTGGCCTAGTCTGCTAGAACTTTCAGAAGACTGCATTCTATATCATACCTCTTCCCTGCCACAGCAGTGGAAATGCAAAGAACTGAGGTGACTCCCGTAAGTGTTCTCAGACACTGCGTGGGTGATGGTTTTTATCTTTTTGGTTAAAGGTAAGGGGGAATTGTGGATATAGAGTTGCTTATTGACATTTCTTTCTTTTTTGTGAGGGGGAGGTGGGTGGGTGGGTGCAGAGATAGTACTATGTTTGAACTCAGCCTTATGCTTTTAAAAAGACACCATGCCACTTCATTCATTCTACCAGCTCTTTTTTGTGTTGGTTAATTTCAAAATAGGGTCTTGCTTTATGCCCTTATCAGCTTAGGTTTTGGTCCTGCTTTTCCTATTTACTTTTGTTGCTAGAATGACAGACACACATCACTCTAACCATTGTGCTTGCACCCAGCCATTGACTGAGGGGGTCTCAAGAACTTTTATTCCCTGACTGATCTCCACCTCCCAAGTAGCTAGGATTACAGGCCTCCTTTTTAATCTTTGCATAATCTTTTTCTTCCATCTCAGTATTCAATGTCTAATCAACAAGTTATGGACTCCATAGTCTTCCTAAAAGAGATTGTGGTTAGTAGACATTTGATTAAGCAATCATTATCCTTTGGGAAGTCTTATGCTGTGAAAAAAACATTGGAATTTATTGCCTGGTGAAGATTTTTCTACTTGAGCAGGGAGCACATGGTAGATCCAGAAAATGTTGGTGACATAAAAGGACAAACTGCTAGGTTCACAAAGTTACAGACCTATCAGCCCCACTAGATTGCTCTGCAGACTCTAATAACTTTATAATCCTCATGAATAGCTTTAATAAGTTAAAAGTATGTAGGTCCTAGGTGGTCATTTTAATTATTTAGGCTAATAACAATACTTTAGAGTTTATTACACAACTTTTTATATCTGTGACCACTCCACCGATGATAGCCAGCTATAGACAGGCATATTATTATAATATGGCACCAAGTCCGTTGGTCTTCCTTCAGAACTTTTTTCTATGGACTCTGGGAAAGTAGGAATTAGCCTCTAACACATCTTTTTAAGTAGCATAAAACAGGTAATAAAGAATGTATACGAATATATTAATATATATGAATGGTATTGCCATTTTCTTTCAGACTGCAGGCTTGTTCATGTGTTGTAGCAGAAAGGTATGCCCCTTGTCCTGTGAATCAGACACACACTTTTCAAGTAATTACCTCAGTAACCAACTCACACACTGTGTCTGGTCTGAGAGAACAGTCTCATCCATAAAATGCAAACAAAGTAGTAGTTTAGGGTCCCATCTAAATCAAGAGAGACCTTGATGTATATTATGTTTTTTTTTTATTATTTTTGTATCTGAGGCAAGGTATTATTATGTATATAACCCAGGCTGGCTAGAAACAATTATCCTGCCTTAGCCTCTTGAGTGCTGGGATTTCAGGCATGTGCACCATTCCAGATTCTATATCATTTCAAAAAGTGCTATGCATTTTTCTTAGAATAAAAAAGAATGGGTTGTAACATTTCTCATACAATGTACTTTGATCATATTTAACCCCTTATCATCCTCATGAAATTTTTAATCAGCAACTTAATAGGCTACTGATGTCGAGGCATGAGTTTAACTCCAGCATTTCAAAAACTTCCTTGAAAAATGGTAAGTTGAAACAGATTTTCAAAACCCATCATATAAACTGGAAATCTTTACTAAGATATAACAAATGTCATTGTAAAAGCAGAGTTCAATTTAAAAGAATAAGAAAAATTCAGAGAGGCTATAAACTATGAGACTAACACGAGCTGGTACTAGAATTTGTGTGGTGGTGGTGGTGGTGGTAGTCTTGGTTGTGGGGTTGTGGTAGAATGCCCCTGCCCTGAGGAAACAGAGAATATATTTTGAGGGCCCATGTAGGAAGAGGATACAAAGGTTTTGGCTGCATAGATGGGTAAATGATTTAAAAGAAAAATTCTACAAACCTGGAAAATTAAAAAAAAAAAAAAAACCTGCTCACCAGCACATTGAGCCTTGTCTTTGAGTAACAAATAATAGATGTCTTAAGAAACCATATACATGAATCTGGCCTTATAGAACTTGCTTATATTCACACTAGTTCTACTGTCTTAAGGCCATAAAAACATAACCCCAAAGTTCTCATGGAGGGCTAACAGCAGTGGTGAGTAAAGATGTATTGGCAGAAGTAGGCAAAACTCCTGAAAAGATCTCCCTGGCCTAACAACACGCATGGGTAAATTCCAACTTAAGATGACCTAAAAATTCAAAATTAAAACACCAGTTATTCATCAGACATTAGGGTTTTATCTACCTAACTTCTTGAGATAACAACATGAAGATGTGAGTTGATTTCCATGGTCTCAACTCATTCCCTCTGGAATGATTTCTTTCACCATCAGTCAAACATAGGAGTAGCTTCTGACTGCAAGTAGCTTGCTTTCTCTGTTAAGAACTGAATATAATTTTTAATGAAATTAAAAATAATACCCAGTTTGCAATTTCACAAAGGAAGTTTGTCTTTTAAAGACAATATCAATTTTAATCTATCATGTGTGCTCCATTAGTTGATTATCAAAGTGGACCCATGCATTTCCATCCTCCTAACCTGACCCAAAATTACATTTTTATATCAGCAAAGCCTTCGTTACATAACTCAGACTTCCTGCAGTTAGTTTAAGAACTTACTATGTAGTCCCCAATCCTTTATTCAATTGTTCCAAGACATTGGATTTTAAACCAAATATGTCTATGGATTTAAACAATAATCCAAGGTGTCATAAAGTATCACAAACAGGATGACATGGAGATATACATTCACTACCAGGTTACAAGCCATCTAAATATGTGAGGTCTTAGCCAAGAGACCTATTTCATCTCTGAAAATAATATTTTAGATGAACATTTCTTAAGAACCCCACACATTTATTCACTTCTACTGGGATATAAAGAGGCCACCCTGCAACTTCTACCCCTTTGCTCTTCTTTCTCTTCCCTGCATTCTTTCTGCATTAACTCTTGCCTTTTCTCTTCTCTTTCCCCTTTCCTTGCATCTCCATTTTCCCTCTTCATATGTTCTAATCTTTTACTAAGAATTCTTTATCTTTCATTTTCTCCTCTCCTGACTCATCTAATTTTATTTTTTTTCCATTATCCTCATATGATTGTACAAAGGGCTTGCCATTTAACAAAGCAGTTTACGAATTCAATGCATCTTTATCAATGTCACCCCTTTCAGCATCCTACCCTACTCCACCCCTACCCACTTCTTCCCTCATTCTTCTTAAGTTTAAATGGCAAAGAGGAGGAAGCACAGAGGAAGAAATATGTCAAAGATACGTTATTCCCTGCTGGGAAGAACCATCAAACACATAATGAATTTATTGGCCCTGTCGCATTGCAATGAAATTACAATAAGCTGCCACTGATAGGAACTCTTGCCTGCATGCATAATATTTTTGCCCACCATCTCCTGCCCCCCTTTTTTTATTTGGGTTCTCTTACTCTAAAACTAGAAATTAAACAATTATTATTCCTTATTTTCCTAACATTTCATCATGCAGCTTTAGACTTCAATGGAAGGTGTTAGTAAGAGTACAGTAAAATTAATTCCATGAAGTTCTTCCAATCTGCTTTGGGAAGGAATTTTTCTATGCCTTTCTTCTCCCTCAATATCACTGGTACAAGTTACTGAAGAGAACTGCAGTGTTTTTTTTTTTCTTAGGGGGCAGGTATCTGAACTGTAGGATTCATGCTCACTAAGTTGGTGCTCTACCACTTGAGCCAGATATTAAGACTTGTTCCACTTATTTTGAGTCTATTTTTATGTCCAGGCCAGCATGCACCATGAGCCTCCTCTATTTTATATTTTCTGCTGTGGCTGAGATGGAAGGACAATTATTACCATGCCTAGATTTTTCTATTGAGATGAAAGCTCACACAATTTTTTCTCGGATTGATCTGGAAACACGATCCTCCTCATCTTAGACTCTCAAGTACATAGGATTACAAATGCAATCTTCTGTTACCCTAAGGTTAATGTTTTTTTCTGCCTTATGCAATTTATAACACATAATAAAAATAACCTGGGAATTACTTTGTTTTCAGCAACATGCATTTTTCTTCTCAAGAAAATAGTACCCTTGTCAAAGAAACAATTCATTTTTGTTTAATGCTTAAGACAATGGGAAATTATAGAGGACTTGTTTTAATATGTAAGTTTTAATAAAGGGCTCATCTCAGTTTAGCTGAGATTCAACAAACACTTGGTATAATTCAATGAACACAGAAAGCTGGAAACTCAATGTAAAATTTTCTAAAACATACACCACTGTGTCGTTTGAGAAAAGGGAAAGCAGTCAGACTAGAGGTTTGCTTCAATGTGCAGTAACCACTAGGAAAAATTCATTAATTCTTCCTCTTGAACCAACTGCCTTGCCTGTATTAATTTAAGTATAGATTTATGGATATGTTACTCATACGGGACATAATTTAAAAATTCTCAGGAACTTTCTCATAAAGTATTTTTAAGTTTAAAATAGTATCTTTTTAACGATGAAAATAATACTGTGAGCACCTCTGTCATAATTACTCAAGTAGGAGTGAGTTTTTACTTTTCTTTGAAGTGTAGTATGAAGAACATTGCTTTTTGAACAGTAATAAAATTCTAACTGCAATAGGAGAGGTTTTAGTGGGATCCTAAAGGTGCAGACTGTAAAGT